ATTGATTAGTTGACGATAGACATGCAGTTTGGTGCATGACTAATGTTGCTGTGCGATAGCCACGAATATTTTTGTTGCCTGATGTGATAGAGGGATTGAGCTCTTCTGACCAAAGTATAATCAATGTACCTGCAGCGTGTAAATTGTTACAACATACACAAGTATTACCAATTTCATGTGAGCACCACAAGGCAGGGCATTTGATTTCCACGCAGTACGAGATATAGATGTGTCGTTTTGACACAATATCTTATGGGCAAATATAACATTTGTACATACATCACTACTAAAACACCGAGTATGATAAACGTCAAAACTGCACGATGGACTGGCAAGACATGGTCACTAACATATCTTGGCTTGGTTCGATTTATGTAAAACACACAAAAATGAATTGAACACCTTGGGACATTGTGCGAGACTCATGTTGAACAACTTGTATAGATGTATTTCAATATTTGTTTACGTAACCGTCCGTCCATCTATTCTGATGGAAGCATTCGGTTTTGATTGTTGAGGCTGGCACAGATATAAACAACCTCCTAAAAAAGAGCATTGCTTCAGAGGCATGCAGCATAGCCTACTGCTTCAGAGGCATGCAGCATAGCCTCCTAAATTGAACAAAGGGTTTATGCATGTATTCAGCTTTTATTTATATTATGTAGTCTGTAAAAACATATCTTTTCGGTGGTCAACTGGTCCCCGTTTCTCCGCTCATGGGTTATCAACTGGTCATTGGACTAATTTCCTGCAAATCCTGCAGCTTTCTCTCGCAAACGCAGGCCGGATTTGGGTTTGGCGGGTAAATTAAAATCGTGGACAGTGTATGGATAAAATGGATTTGCGGCAATGCACTGTACACAGTGTCAGTGAACATAAATGCCGATACATATATGTATTTGTAACATATTTTTATAAGGAAAGAACTGAAATCTCCCTCACTTGTTCAATACATAGATATTTATACAGCAATAGCAAAACCACCACACATATACCACTCCACGTCATTCGCTATCATGTCAGACAGTGACGACGCAGCAGAAATGCGAGCTATGCGACAGAGGCAAGCACGCATACCTGCAAGAGGTCCGATAAAGCGGCCACACACAGTAGCTGATGACGATATAATAGAGGACGAATACGACCACGTGGTCAAGAGGAACGTGCGTAGCAACACATCCGCAAATACAGACACACAGAAAAATCGTAGGCCAAACCTCACAGCTAAGCCATTAGACCAAGCGGAGATGGCTAGTTTTGAGTCCATGATGGGCTTTAAGAGCTTCGGAGGCGTGCAGGCAAAGCCGCAGATTGACATGGGGTTCGGGAACCTGAAGACTAAACTTAAGACAAGTGTGGATGTTGAACCGGTGGTTCTGGCAGGGAAAACAGGTGATGTAGTGAATGCAGATGGGGTCAGTAACGGTAAGACAGGGCATATCACTATTGAGAAAGATACAGAAGATTCTGCGCACGTACCCAGCGGGAAAGGTATAGAAAAGAATCCAGTTACGCATAAGGAAGATAAGGTCGAAGAGGATAGAGATGACTCTTTAGATGCAGAGGAGGGCGATGGCGAAGATGCCTTCCGCTTTCCTGTGACTCACGAAGCCAACATTGTACATGGCTCGAAAAGCGTGGTATCTGTGTCGATCGATCATTCAGGTGCGAGATTGCTTACAGGAGGCGTGGACTATGAAGTTAAGATGTATGACTTTAATGGCATGGACATGTCCATGAGTGCATTCAGAACTATTGAACCTGTCGAGTCGCATCCTATACGATCTGTACAATATAGGTAGGTATTTGGTAATCATTTTTCATTGCACGATATATTG